TAAGTCTTAATTTGAGTAACTCAGAAGGACATCTTGTGTTTTCCCATATAGTTCGCTGTTTAAGAGTATGGGACCCGGGCTTCCACGGGTACGCCTGCTAATTGAGTTACCGTTAGTAGATGGCTGGCAGCCGGAAGGGTGGACACTGTGACCATCAGGCTTCCGTCTTTGTTGAGGCGATAGTTAAGAACTTTCTCTTGAGCCGACATTACAACGGCTGATGCGACAGTGTTAGGGTTGACTTTCCATGAGCTTCCTCCATCTGTGGTAGGCCTGAAGACAACAGGGACGCCAGTACCACTTTTTATCTTGTAGGATGCAACTGTGAAGGAATCTTGGTCCATATGATCTCCACTTTCATCTGAAGGATCGGAGCCGTCTTGCTCCTCCCGCAGTCTCTTGTTCGCAGTGACATGGGCTGTAGATCCGTCTACAGAGACTCCAGAAGTAGTAGTTGCCGCCGCTGCCATAGATGCGGCGTCGAGTGCATCTGGCGGCGATGTTCCGTGCCGTGGCGGGTGAGGCACAGGCCGTCTAGAAGTCCGTTTGACGTGCTTTTATGGGTGGGCGGAGACCTCCATGTCATCATGGTGTGAGTACGAAGCACAAACAAGTAATACGAACTGTTAGACTGGGAAAAGTAGTGAAAAATTACGAACTGATCTAACACAGGCAGTGCTTCAGAACATCGTCATATTCCGCCCTATTTGCGGTGGTGCGTAGTCACTCATATAACTTAGAGCTTAGGAAAATGCTAGTACTAGTCTATATTAAAGGGGCCCTGAAACACTTTTTTGAGTAAACATGGAATTAATTCACTGGAATCGCGTATTACTTCACAAATTGAACGCCGCAAATTTTATTCCAGTACATAATTCAGTAATTTTGTCCAGTACGAGCGGAGTTACAAAGATTTGTCACATGCTGCAATCACATTCTCTCTTCTCTCGTCCCAACGGAAGCGCTGGAAGCTGATCAGGGAGGGATGAGACGAGCAAACGAAAAACGTCACTTGCACCTCGTGATGTTGAGCATCTTTTTTTTTTCTTTTTTTTGAATACGAGGTTTTTCCGTGCGAACGCGCGCGCACGCGTGGAAGAGAGGCGGCCTCTCGCGGCAATCTCTAACAAACGAGCGTGTCATGTTCGAATCAGCCAATAGCTGATAGAGGCGCTTACTGTGATTGATTTTTGGGCTTATTCCGTGGTTTCTTCAGAGAAGAGAAAGCAATTTTTAGCTGATTTTTATAATTTATTGTGAATTCGAGGCCACGCGCTGCGCTATAATATTTGGCTCGCATGTTGTCGGGAGCCTCTACTAGCGATCGGCAGTATTTTCTGACCATGCTCAAAAAGTGTTGCAGGGCCCCATTAAAACATGCAGCTCCCGTGGGCGCTCCTACTGCACTGCATACTCTTGGATCATTATATTTTTGGAAGTGGTTCTTAAATATAATACTTGAAGTAGAGCTCACACACTTGAAAACCAATTAAAAATGCACTTTATTTTAAGTGTCTACTCGCATGTGAATTTCAAAGAAACATATTAGGCTGCTGGCGAGACTGGCTCAAATTTATAATATCGCAATAAAGTGGTAGCAACAACGGCAAGAAAATACTATGCACAAAACCCATGCATTAAGTAATGCAACAGAATGCCTGCCATTTTTTCTAAGCCAAGTGAACAGAACTAATACAAGAAGTCCACGGTGCTAATCGCCAATAGCAAGCTGTTTACCGACCCTGATGGAAAAACGCCTGTTCTGAAAACGTACTCACACACGCGTTTATATTTTAATGCCAGGGCTGAGGCCAACAAGTCAGAAGCACACATGACGCCTTCATTTTTAGAGCAAGAACGGAACATGATGGAAATGGGAAATATGTAGTACGACACACGTAGGTACCTTTGGGTCACGAAGAAAACGGATGTCAACGTCAGCTTGCCGAACGACGCGCTCCCATTTCGTTCTTTTGTTGTCCTTGGGAAACGAGAACACTCGAAACTTCGGTCCCTTTGCCGCGACAATTCGCCACGCAGCATCGCCCAACCGTACGGATTAGCATCCGTACAGATTGCGAATATCCCACGCACAAAACGCATAACAAATTCACACTGCAGTTTACGGACACAGACAAAAAGACGGTCTTCTTTAGTCGCCTACAAGCACACCAGCACGCCACGAAAACGTTCCTCAGGCTTGGCAATCTATGTCTGTCGAGCAGCGAGAGCAAGCGTTGGCACGTCTGTGCAATGAAACACGCCAATCTAAACGGAGTGACGTCAGAGCCCGCGGCAGACACAGCCAGTATAAGCCTGAAATCATATAGGTGGCATTGGCAGAGCTCGTGTTCTGCGTAAAACATACTCCCTTGCACTGATATTATTGCATGATTACAGCATTCGTGTATGCAGATGGCTTTATGTCGCTACTTTTAAGCCACCACACTGTCGTATCAACGTGGCAAAGCTTGTGAAGCGAGATTAGCGTTATCATTACAACCAATGCGCGTTCTTTCTTCGTTCATGCGCACAGACCAGAAACTTTCTGGTAGTGTCGTTATAACATTAAAAAAGTTTAGATACCACGAGATTATGTTGATTGATATGTGGGGTTTAACGTCCCAACACCACCACATGATTATGAGAGACGCCGTAATGGAGGGCTCCAAAAATTTCGACAACCTGGGGTTCTTTAACGTGCACCCTAATCTGAGCACACATGCCGACAGCATTTTCGCCTCCATCGAAAATGTAGCCGCCACAGCCGGGATTCGATCCCGAGACCTGTGGATCAGCAATCGAGTACTTTAGCCACTAGACCACCATGGCGGGGCATCACTGGCTTATATGTTGCCTTGGCGCTTCCAAAGCCACCATGGTGGACTACCAACGCGTTGAGAACCGGCTTTCACGACGTGAGGTGCAAGCAATGGACTGCATGCATCTTAGACAACTTTAGGTATTCCACCTAAAGATAGCCGTGTCAAATATAAACCACTCTACTTCGACTCGCACGCGCACGCAGTCTTCGATTCCCACTACTCGGCAAGCCCACAGTAGTTGGGGGCTTATGGCATTCCACCTTTAATGTTTCGCGCTACCGACCAAAGGGGACAATCATATATAGTAAGTGCATCATCTGAACGGTACACCCCGAACATAGCGCAGAAGTACTCTTCTCGGTTGGCTTCCTGTCCTTTATATATACATACAACTTCAAGCATGGGTTCTAGACAGCGCGTTCGGGCTGTAATTTATTATTACGATGTCAATTATATGGACACACTCGGCTGGTTTTTGCCGTCATTGATGGTGTCGCCGTTACCGTCACCATCATGCCCCGTAAATGTATATGTATGTATATGTATATATGAAAGCCACAAAGAAAAATAATTCAGAAAAAAATCACAGCTTCGCCACAAAGGCGAAGCAATGGACGCGATAGCAACAAACTGGAATGTCACGCACGAAATGAAAAGCAGATCGAAACGTGCCCCACGTTTCTCTCGCACAAACGACGCACGAAACGTACTCGCAGGCACAGATCCACGTGAATAAACGTATCAGTTGTTACTTCGCTGTGTCTGAAAAGCACGCCGCTTTTTGCAAACGCAGACTGCAATGATTGCAGTGACCTTTGTGCGCCCGGTAACTATCACAGAGTCGTTCCAGATAAAGCCCGAGGCCAGCCAAGACGTACAATTCTCCCCTCCTCTCCACCGCGAGATAACGGCGCGCGAGGGAGCGCCACTCCCCTCCGCAAAACGGGGCAAAGTACGCGTGGGAGATTAGAGCGCGCGCCGCCATGCGATGTAGCAACGCGCGCTCATTGCGCCATCTTACTGGTAATGCTGAAAACATGATAATTCCCTCCTCCCCGAAATGTATGTGAGCAGTGGTAAGTGGTAGATATAAGTAGCTTGCCGTTGAATGAGCGTTGCACTTTCTCCTGGGTGACTCAGTGGTTAACGGCTCGCACTCACGATTGATAGGCCAGAAGTCCGATTCCGCATGCTGGAGTCTTATGTAGTTGTTGTTTTTTTCGCTTTCTTGCATTTTCATATAGCTACATATACATATACGGCACACTATATCGACGCCGGCGGCAAAATTCAGCCGAGAGTGTCCGTATAATTGCTATCGCAATAAAATGTTTTTAAGCGAGCTAAATCGATGGGCCAACCTCTCGCTCCGCAGCGCGTGGCGTAGACAACTCAACCACGAAAGCGTACCTCCTGTTGCACACTAACGGTGAGCAAGTCGTATACACTTTTTACCGCTGGCGGCACACTGATGTCGGTGATATTTCGTCGTGTTCTCTGCGTTACCAGCGAGATGGCGCAAGGGTGCACATGAGATGTCGCGTGCCACTCGTTGCAACGCTTGTGCTTGTCCATGACGTGTGCCTGCCCTTCGAGGCGTGGTCGCCCGTGCGCGCTTACATCGTGATGGCGGTATTTTCCATGTTTTGTGCCTTCACCGGAAAGATTTCATTAAAGTTACAACGCAGGCAAAGATCACTTTGCTCGCTACAGAGGCCCCGGGGGGGTTGCGAAAGGAAAGCGCTGTTCAAGCACAAGGAAGTAACAAGTGTCCCACAAAGTAACAAGTGTCACATAATATGACACTTATTATTTCACGCTTATCCTGTGTATACCTGTGCGTACGTTCCGTGCTTCATTTGTGCTTAAGCAGTACATTGCGTGTCGAGCTGCGAACGTTGTTGATTCGTGCTCGTCCTGTGTGCGGCGCTTGTGCAGCGCGCTGCACGTCCCGATCTGCTTACCGTTTTTCGCATGACATCACAATCGGTTGCTATTGGATTCATTGCTTCACCCTTACCGCGAAACTGACGTTTTATCTAAACGTCGAAAAGCGGAGACTACCGTACAAAAACAAAAATAAGCCAATCCGGTTTTTTCGAACCCTTAGCAAGAATTTAGCGTGGATTATTTTAACTTTGTTCTTAGTGCACTGTCTTTGCTTTTTCTCAACAGTTCCGCAACCAAGAGTACTCATTCTGGAACTGCCTCGAAATTAAAGGAGAGATGACACTCGCACAGCTTCTGGAGTACTTCAGGGTAGGTCACGCGTGTTTTATTAGGTACATGTCGGTTTGTTGTGTGAGCAAGCGTGGGTGTCTCAGGAGAGCGAATATGGTAACGGCCTTTGTACAAGAGACAAGTAGACATATATAAGGGCGGAACCAAGTTGTCTTAGTAAGAATCATGACTATACCTATACCCGGCATTGCAGACGTGAGTGAGTGGGTGAGTGAGTGAGTGGGTGAGTGAGTGAGGGAGAATGGACTATGAACGTGAGTGCAAATTATCTTGTGTTTAGGAAAAAAACGCCTGAGTGTCACAGTTGAGAAAAAGTCTAAGTTGGCAGCCTGCCTTTCATTTGCTTTGAGATTTGTCCACGCATGAAAGAAGCCGTAGCCTCGATAGTTTCTGGCGCTGTTAAACGTTGTGGTATCTTTGAAGCATTGGTGCAACCTCTCCCCGCGCTGCGCCACCTATATTTCCAGTCGCTCAGCTTGGATGCAATGGGAAGCTTCGCTTTCAAGCAGAGCCGAACGGGTTGGAAGATAGCTGTCTACCGATTGTTTGTATCTGTAGGTAGTGGCAGGAACGGATTTATTTGCGAATTAACTACATCTCAAGCGGTCATATATAACCGCCATCGAGTTGCTTTTCTTTCCAAAATATATTGTTTGCCATTTTACTCGCCGGCTATTCTGGGTAGGTGTTAAGCTTGTTTGGTAGAAATTTTGTACAATTCCTGCATGCGCGTCGTGTTCACATTACGAGAGTCTTTGCGGTTTTCGGTCGTAGCTCTCTTAAAGAAAGAAAAGGTTGGCAGGCCCAATGTTTGTTGCCGTTTCGACAAATTGTGGATAGATAATGGAGAGCTCTAAATTATGAATGAGGAACAGAGTTAAACTGCACCAAACTTTGACCAGTTTACCCTTATGTACAACTGTTCGAAATCGGTATGCATTACGTGAAAGGCATTGCCCTTGCCTTCTTTCCTCTATTTTATTTTTAAGGCGATATACTTTTACGACTCACGCGGTGGTGGCCTTGAGCGGAAAGCCGGAGCATATACTTCGCGCAAAAATATCACGTGACCTGTCGTGCATAGCTCGCGACACGCCGGCCGCGCATTCACTTCGTTATTGAAGCGTTTGCGCAAATGTGTTTTGAATAACGTGGAAGAGGTGTGTCGTCTTGGAGGACAGCGAACCTGGGCGTAGCGGATTGTGCAGAAGGCCGAAGAGGTTTTAAATGCCAGAGGAGGCTCAACGAGCCCCGAGACCCCATGAGCCACATGGCTCGTCATATTCTGACGTCACACTTCAGTCTTTAGAGCATTGTCACTATGAATTTCGCTTTCAAGTCGTCTTAGCGATTGTGTAAGATCATCGAAACTTCTTTTTCCTTTCCAGCTAGAGCACGAACTCGAAGTCATGAGCGTGTTGGAAGGCGACCATACTCTATACGACGCCAACACGCCCCCTTCTAAGGCACTCATGAAGATCGCGTAAGTGAAGTGCTTTACTTTCTGTAATCGGGTATTCAGATGTGGTTTGTGTTCTGTGTTGCAGCTTTAACTATGCGCAGTGCCTAAGCCAAACTGCAACATGTAAATATATGCACTCTTCAGTGACGGGGGGAGGGGGGCACACTCCATGGCTTTTCATTACCCATGGCGTCCGCGCACTGGTGGAAGCGGCTACCCATCGGCAGAAACACGCTGCTTAAAGACCGCGAAAATTTATATCTCCTGTTGCGTAAAAAGCAACCGCCGCTTCTCAGGAAATGCGAAGCATTGAACCACGCGGTGGAAGTATATCTACTCGCTGAGAAAAAAAGCCGCTTAAGTGGGAACGAATAACACCGATATTGGATATGAGTGACTCACGTTGGCAGACAGTTGCGGGGGTCACTTTTCTTTTCTTTTCCTTCTCATAAACATAAAAACTCCCCCCGACAGTGAAACCACCATGATGGGGTACCAGCATGGCGGGGAGCGAAGTTTGCGCTCTCGGGTTATTGTTATCGGCACGTGCATGTAGATTATTTTATTGTTAATTTATGAAGAGCAAAAACGTTTCGGCCGCGTCGTTATCATATAGCAGCAGGCTAACCGTAACTAGATCATGCTGCATTGACGTCGCCGTAGACGTCATGTTGGGCTGCAGAACGAAGCTGCATCTACCACGTCACTTTCAGCTATTTATGACTGTGAAGGAGGGTACGGCAGTAGCTCTTTTTTCTTCTGGGCAATTATGATTATGAGTACAGACCAACACGTACCCACACTTACAAAAAACCACCACATAATTCCCACAGTATGCGCACGAAGCTGTCCTTGGTATGGCCCATCGAGTATAGGGAACCGTAACTAAACTGTTGTTTGTGGTCAAGCTCAAAATCCCGACACGTCCCACAACCGGCCGCTCATCTTTCTGCCATTGAATTCGAAATACCCGCGAATTGCCGGTTGCCATAACGAGAAAGAGATTTTGCAGTCGTCAAGTTGCATCATCCTGCCAGAAGGCGCTGCCATTACCTGACCACTTGGAACACGTTGCTTCTTTGCCTGATCGATTGCGCCTCACGAATGACCCCGCCTAAAGGCGATATGTCCATCTTCCCGTAGTGGTCTAAGCAAGGTGCCACATTTAAAAGGCGCCAAACAAAAGTAATGGCAAGGAGAATTACATTGGTGGAGGAATAATTCGACTGTTATTACATTGCCGAAATCATCCACAGATAAGTGAAGCGCTCCACGTGTGGCACTTTCAGACGGTAGCACCCCATGTCTATTGTGCACAACAAGGATGACAAATAAACTTTTTTAATTAGGAACATGACTTTTACAGACTATGCGTTTGTTTAGCCGTGCTTAAATACACTTTTAACGTATTGAAATTTGTGTAGCATGAATGGTAGTTCGGTGATCGCCTAATTTTAAAAACTACACGAGCGCAAACCGTACGAAAGAGAAAATTGAGGTTGTGCCCGTCAAAAAAACGTCTTCAAACATTGGGGGGTCTCTGAGCTAGTCATGACCACGCACGGATTCTTAACGTGCTTCTCTATATACAGGCATGTTTTTCCACTACGCATGTGCACAACATGACGCCGTTTCACCATATGCACTACCGGCCCGGTTAACTCAACGTAAAACATGGAGGTACAACTGGAAAAGTGGATATTGTCACGAGGCTTTTGCAACACGGGTCCTTTAATAAGTCCCAGTGTGGCTGGATACTTCCAGAAAAGCGCGTCCTTCGAAGCAACCAAACTACTCATCACTTTTCACGACATCACGCAGTACTACAAGCTATCAAGGATAACCAGATCATTCCCACACCCGGAACTAACAAAGCTCAATAAATCACTTGGCGGCAGCTTCAAACCAACTCATTTCCTTCCCCGTACATATACAAACACATATACCCAGCCTTATTCATATCTACGTGCGCCCTTTGCAAGACACAGACCACAACCTTGGACCACATAATCTGGGGATGCATCAAGGACCCTCCACCACCAAATCTCCTGGGACAGTCACCTTCAAGTGAGGCCTGGGAGAGAATCCCCGCAAGCCTGGACACTCAGCTCCGGGCCATCAAATGCGCTGACGAGGTGGCGACCAGGCACGGCCTGACAGCCCTCGCCACTTAAGAAACCGTTTAATAAAGTTGTTTACTACTACTTCGGGGCTATCTATAGAGTCAAGAAAAAGCGCATGGTTTTCTTTCCGATGGCTAGACTCGATCTTGCACTGCACTCATTACGTCGAGGTGGCAATATTTCTCACGTTATAATGATCATTGCCTTCCTTTATTTTTTGATAACCGCAATTGTGTAGGGCACTTATTTTTTCCACTTGCGCTAAAGTTTGCCTACAAGGTTGGTAATGGCGCGACAAATTTTGTGTCTCGGTGACGACATTTGCAGTCGTCCCATCAGAAACAGATGAACGCGGAAAGAACTTGATAACGATAAGCCTCGGCGGTCACCCTTGGTTAAAATCGTATGTGCTAAAGAGCTTAATTGGCAAAGTGCTTTTGGCGGTCGTTTGAAACTCCGGTCGTCACCTGTTTTCTGTTCGCAGTGATGTCACTGTTCAAATGAAACACTACCGTTGGATGTGAAATTGAATGAGACTGCTCGGTGCAGTAGGCGGTAAATTAGGAAGAAGAAAGCAAGTCCATTTTTAGACTTCTTGTGAGGAACATATATCATTTTTAGTGTTTATCTTTTCGGATGCTTATCGGGAGCCTTGGCCGTGTCTTTCCGCAGCGTGAGCAAAGTCGTGGAGCGAGTGTCCAAGGCTGCAATCGACAGTGGGACGCTGGCCCTGACTCTTCAAGTCGCGGGCAGAGACGCCAACAGCGGAGAAGAGGTGGAGGTGCCCAGAGTGCGATACCTGCTGCGCTGATGACCACGGTGCCGCATAACTACCTGCTTAGAAATAAGTACGTGAGGTTGTTTTTTAACGGCAATTTTGCAACAGAGTTCATTTTGGGTTACGTAATCATTACGCAGGCTAAAGACATCGAGTGTCTCGTTGCTCGGCCCCTAAAGCGAAACATGGGAGGTGAATAAAGCGTTACGAGAGGACACGTGATGTCACTCACACAAGATGTCACTCGTGACATTTTGCTGTGACGTCACCATGCACAAAGTTTCTGTAAATTACCTAGAGGGGATTGTGCCGCTGCAATCGTTCAGGCACTATGGGAATGATGGGTAGAACACAAATTTTCTTAGTCTTCGTGCTTGTGGGGTTCAAACACAGTTGTAGCTTTTGTTATTGCTACGTTTGGGTTTTGTTTCGAATGAAAAAAACTGACCCTCGTGAACTTTGTTACCCTATTTAAATTGGTCAGCCTAATAAGGTAAGGTGGTGAAGCGTAACTGCTAAATCTTTGCTGAACTTTGTCTTGCAGCAAAGAGGATTCAGGCCACACGGAGCCAAACAGAGCCGGAAAAAAAAACCGCATATTAGACATATTCATCATTCCCATGCTGTCTGAAGCACCGTGCGTTCCACCTCCCATAGAGACTAGCGACAGAGTTGCCTCTAGCGCTTTTAAAGGAAACTCTCTGACCATGTAGCATAATAACGTCATGATAACCGTCGTCACGACGGCAGATATTCAAGGTTTGCGACGTGACGTCATCACATGACGTCATATATCATGTAACTTCATCAGTCTATGACACTTTGTCAAAGGTTGGCCGATCCCCTATGTAGTGCAACGCCAAGTGAGGTCCAGGAACCTTCAGGGCAGTTACGCAGCCAGAATTTTTGGGGGCGGGTGGGTGGAAGAGGTAGTTTTTGCATGTTGCCATGTATGTGTGCGTGCGTATGTACATATAAATATGAAAGACTGACCATTCTGGGAGTTCCCCCACCCCTCCAGCCTTGCGACGCCACTTGCTGAAGCAATGGGGGGGGGGGGGGGCGTGTGAACGGGGGCTGGGGGGCAGAGGGGGGCGTCTTTTCACGTCAATTTCCTGCCACGAAGAGGTGTGGCTTTCCTGCATACTTTGGATGCTTTATCCTCTCATAAACGGGGAACCGGTTGCCTCATAGCGCGAAATTCAACATTCCTGCATGTTCCTAGACGAGAATCCGTGCTCGTGCCAGCTATACGGCACCAAGGGGTGTGGTGGCTCCCGATTGTACAACTTAATACATTACCGAGTGTGCAGCAGGCTTTCGAATTCACGTGTAACCTGCTACATAAGTTTATTCGTGGTTGCATGTCTTAGGCAGCGTGCGGTATACACTAGCCGACATTCACCGGCATTTAGTTAATAACGAACATCACAGAAAGTGAGCGACCATGGGCGGCAGGCGGAACGCTGGTAGTATTCAATTTCACGGTAGACAAGAGTACATGCATGTGACCATTCACAGCCATTTTCAAATGAAAGGAGTGGGTGGAGGTGCACACGGGGATAGGCTTTCGCGCATGGCATAGTTATTTGTGGAAATTGCCTACACTTGCGCACACTATAGTCGCGCATAAGGGAAGTCCATGCGGCCAGGCCGTGGCCCTCTCCTTGCCAGATGAGTACTGCAGGCCGCACTTTGGATGTTCCAGGGTTTACGTATTAATCGGTGGAAAACAGAGATTCAGTGTTTATAATATATTGTAAACGCTTAGAAGCACTGTACGTAGTCTACTATGGGAGAGCCACTGTTCAGAAAAAGATTGCCCGCAGCTTCCCTCGGGGGAAGACTGAGGAGGATGCGGACCATATAATTGGTTAACGGGGTGTTAAAGTGCGACTTACTTGGGTCGATGGCTAAATTGGTTAACGTGGTTGTGAAATGGGGTGTTAATTTGCGACTTACTTGGGTCGATGGGTAAATTGGTTAACGTGGTTGTAGGAGGGGGTGTTAAATGAGTGAACACGTACACACGTATGCGAAAGGGCGGCGCTGGTCGAAGGGACGTCGATCATTGTGTTTGTGGATTCGTTGGAATTCATTTCACCGCGACCTTGGACGTCGACGCGCCGTACAAACCAACCAACGAGCGGCAACTGAGCGGGCGAGCGCCGACCTTGAGTATATATACAGCACGACGGCGCATGCACTGTCAGCTGTTGAATGTTCTCGAAGCGCGACGCCACATGCGCGTCCACTGGAGAATCAGGAGAATTGTAGATGTCGAACGCGGTGTGTAGAGGAGGAAGGGTGCACAGATGGTGGAGGAGTGAAGCGCGCGCGGTGTGTAGAGGAGGAAGGGATGCACAGATGGTGGAAGAGTGGGCGACGGCGCGACGGCGCATGCGCGCGCGTCAGCTATCGAATGTTCGAGAAGCGGTGCGGACGGCGCGGACGGTGCACTACAAGGCGCGAATATAAGATGCTCCGCATCTAAAAGATTGTTTCCACTATGTACAATGCATCAATTATGCGTGGCAAGCCAGTGTTCAGGGCGTGTTTTCAAAAAAAATTGCCCGCAGCTTCCCTCGGGGGAACACTGAGGAGGATGCGGAGCATATAATTGGTTAACGGGGTGTTAAAGTGCGACTTACTTGGGTCGATGGCTAAATTGGTTAACGTGGTTGTGAAATGGGGTGTTAAATTGCGACTTACTTGGGTCGATGGCTAAATTGGTTAACGTGGTTGTAGGAGGGGGTGTTAAATGAGTGAACACGTACACACGTATGCGAAAGGGCGGCGCTGGTCGAAGGGACGTCGATCATTGTGTTTGTGGATTCGTTGGAATTCATTTCACCGCGACCTTGGACGTCGACGCGCCGTACAAACTAACCGACGAGCGGCAACTGAGCGAGCGAGCGCCGACCTTGAGTATATATACAGCGCGACGGCGCATGCACTGTCAGCTGTCGAATGTTCGAGAAGACGTACACACGTATGCGAAAGGGCGGCGCTGGTCGAAGGGACGTCGATCATTGTGTTTGTGGATTCGTTGGAATTCATTTCACCGCGACCTTGGACGTCGACGCGCCGTACAAACTAACCGACGAGCGGCAACTGAGCGAGCGAGCGCCGACCTTGAGTATATATACAGCGCGACGGCGCATGCACTGTCAGCTGTCGAATGTTCGAGAAGGGGGAGAAGCGCAACGGCGCATGCGCGCGCGTCAGCTGCCGATGTTCTCGAAGCGCGACGGCGCATGCGCGCGCGTCAGCTGCCGATGCTCTCGAAGCGTGACGGCGCATGCGCGCTACATTATACAGCTAGCGAATGTTCGTGAAGAGGAGAAGCGCACGCGGTGTGTAGAGGAGGAAGGGTGCACAGATGGTGGAGGAGTGAAGCGCGCGCGGTGTGTAGAGGAGGAAGGGATGCACAGTTGGTGGAAGAAGGAGGAGGAAGCTTGCGGACGGCGCCGCACTACAAGCCTCGAGTATTAGATGCTCCGCATCTGAAAGTGTTTAACGATTTATAGTGCTTGGTATTCTACTATGGGAGAGCAGAAAGCCGTCCCAGTTTACGCAACGCGTCCGCAATTTATGATAGGCAAGCTATGCAGTGTGTTTAGAAAAAGTTGTTAACGATTTAGAGTACTTGATACTCTACTATGGGAGAGCGTAATGCCGTCCCGTACTTCAGGATTTCACATCGATTCATTCCGCCAGTCACTGATGCCGTGGCTTAGAACTACGAGTAGGACGTAAGCGCTGCGTCGTGTGCCAGTTTCTTCATTTGTTATTGTAGTGCGTAATTGCGCGCATAACCTCAAATTCAATCGCTGTAGCTAATATGCAGCTTTCATTCCCTATTGCCACATGTATGTTATCAAACACTGTTCAGAAACTCACCTTGGAGACCGAATAGTCACAGATATTCTGTGTGTAGGCTCAACTGCTTTCACTAGTACATTGAGTGCCGAATGTTTGAAGAGCAGCAGCAACTCTCACACAATTCGTAGCTCAGTAACTCCAGGCACTCATGCACGCACAAACGCGCACAGGAACACGCACATAAATATGCTCAAACACACACACAAAGGTGCGTACGCGTTTCATACATACGTCAGCTGCCGTTTTGCCGTTGCCTTGCTCTTTTGATCCTAAACCCACACATTCGCTCTCTTCTATGGTGCCTCACCCCCGCGCACATAGGGGCAGCACACTCTATGTATACACACATGCAGCAACATCGTCTTTCGAAAATGCAGTCAGTCTTGGTGAATGTTTCGAAAACATTGATGTCCACAGTACACGATAACTTTATTAATGTTTTGATTCTCTTATCTCTCTGTTACAGGCAGATGAAAGAGCAGCGCTGTATCTGCCTCTCCTATACAGACGCACGAAGGAAGAAGCAGTGCGCCTTCGCAACTCCAATGAGACCCCGTAGTGCTGACAGCGCCATAATCATATTTATATAAATTACGGCAGTGATGCGTGAATTCGTGGACCTATATTAGAGCACATGCTGTAGCGTGAATTGCGTAATTGTTTTCGTCCCTAGCCCACGCAACACTCATTGTCCTGCAGATGTCGTTATATTTTTTGCTTTATCCTGAAAACGTTCAATTTTACAGAATGTTGATTGCCCAAAGCACAGATATTGCGTTACATCAAAAGGAGATCCCATTATGGTCGAAACGAAGAACAATGCAATAAATTTTACGCCTCCTTTTTATTTGTTTTATGCAACAACGTGGTGATGAGACGCTGTCTTCAAGTGGCTCCGGCGTTAATGTGTAGTAAACATTTGAATACGACCCTTTCATCTAGAACTTGTGCTAGATCATAAACCTGTGATGAAACGTTGCACAACGTTCTTAGTAATAGGGGATCCCGCTTGGTTTTTCTTTTTTTTTTTGCTGGCTACACTGTGTCGCTTGTAATTGATTGATATATGTGGGGTTCAACGTCCCAAATCCACCATATGATTATGAGAGACGACGTCGTAGAAAGCTCCAGAAATTTCGAATATCTGG